TGCTTGTCGGTCCTTGCGTGACAGGTTATGTTTTGGCTTTGTTATTTGTATCTCTGCCAGTTGTGATTTAACCTCTCTCGTCCTTTTGTACTCGTCAAGGCGCCGAAATAAGAATTCTGAACTGTCATATGAAGCTGAACTAAGCTGCCTTTCCAAATCCTCGATAAGTCTAGCAAGGGAGGAGAAAAACTCTGCAATATTTGGTAGCCAACAAACCACTACTTTGGATCGAAACTTCGTCTCGGTGAAGTGAAGACATCGATTGATATCACAACTGGTCAGCGTTCTCTCTTTCTCGACTCGAGTTTTTTTTTTCAAATCGACTCGCATATTTTTTCGACTCAAATTTCAAAATTTTGACTCGCGTTTTTTTTTTCGTTCGTGAAAATATATTTTGCAAATCTCGACTCATGGTTTTTATTGCATTCGATGTACTTTACAATATTCGACTTAAGTATTATGTTTTCAACATGTTTTTATTATCGGTATAATTTTGTCCGCAACGGAACGCCATAGGTATGTGCCTCCCAAAGGGGTCGTGATTTTGAAGCTTTGGATTTAGAACGGGGTATCCATTTCAGAGGCGTTTTCTAGAACGGGGTATAATATTTCGAACGCACGAAAGCTCCACTTTTGTAAGCAGCCATTTGAAAAATGTTCAAGGACAGATTGCTTTTAAAAATACGGTTCAATGCGTTAACAAGCAAACCGTTGTACTCTTGTTGCACCCTAGAACGGAGTATAAAAAATTGGCCCATTCTAGAACGGGGTATTAAAAAATTGGCCCATTTCTACTACGGGGTATCAATTTTAGGGGAAACTTTTTCTAGAACGGGGTGCCAATTTGGAGTCCCGGGCGGCACATACCCACCCAAAAAATACCCAAGTGCCTCCCCCAGGACACTTTGTGATGGGAAGACTACTTGAAACCTTGAAAATAAATGTTTCTGTGCGGAAACTTCGCTCTTAAGCCATTGCAAATCAGAGAAATCATGTCAAATAACGAAATAATGTAATTTTCTTACTTTTAGTGGAAATCGAGTGTGAAAAAAGCCGACGAGAAAACGACCTTATTTCAAGATGGAATCTGCTATGACTGCGATATTGCGTGATGCTTCTGGAAAAATGCATCATGGGATACTATTCGATCCTCCTCTGGGCTACATCTAAGATCAAAAAATGTCACGCGCGAAATGTAACACAAAACTCCGTGACACATGCAGAGTGAAACATCGTGGCAGAAAATTACAAAATGGCCTCTTCACTTGTTGATGTAGCTTCCTTTCCTCCAGAAATTATCAGCAAAATTGCCCAGTTTTTGCCACTGCAGGATGTATTAAAATGCATGTTGGTCTGCAAATCTTGGAAAGTGAGTAATAGCAATAATTATGGATTATGTGAGTTTAGAAGCTACTTTAATACTTGATATACTTATGTAGGTGGTTATCAGGACCTGCAAATATTTATGAAATATCCTTACTACAGACCTATGGACAGTAGTACTGTACTGTGCAACCCCAGTGCTTGAAATTTCCAGTTTATCCTCAAGACAAGCAGCTCTCACTGATTTTTCTTGCCTAGAAACAATTCCTTGGATTGATTTAAGTCACTATTGCAGATGGTCTCGTTCTCAGAGCTCCCAGAAATTGGATGTTTTAAATTCTATAACTTTTTATAATTATGTGTTTCTCTAGAATTTTTTTTATCCAAGACTACATCTGGCCTAAAAATATCTGTTAGCGACAGAGATATTTTTCACTGTGGATTAACGACAGTGGAAATCTAATGTGAGAATCATCTACCATTGAATTCTGCTGCTTCAAAGCATGTCCTGATAAGCCACAAAGTTACTCACTTTATTGATGCCATGAGAAACAGGCTGAAAAAAGAAATGAACACGCTGTGTGTTTGTTGATTTATCTAAAGCGGTTGATGCTATAAGTCATGCTGAACTCCTGAGAAAAATTCCATTCTATGAAATCCATGGAAAACTGAATTGGAGAGGTTCACTTCATACCCTTTTTGTAGATCACAGGTTGTTCAGTATTTGTGTTATCAGAAGCTCAACCAGTTTTTATAGGTGTCCCTTGGCAGGGGAGTATTTTAGGGCTTGTTTTATTCATAATTCATTTTAATGTACACATAGTGTCGCAGTTTTCCAAGGTAAGCAATTTCTGCCATATATGCCAATGCATTATTACATACATACATTATTATATGCATTATTATCTCATAAGATGCATGGAATGGGATGCAATCAGTGTTTGTGTGTACCTTATTGCTTAGTTTCAAACCAAGATGGGCTGGTTACGAGTTGGTTTATTATGGTGATGATCAGGCCAATATTGAACAGGATACAGCTATATTTAAAAACTTGAAAATTTGTAAGAGATGTATGCGAATGCTGTTGATTTCAATGTGCTCTTTCTGACTACATGGGTTTTATCTTGTTTTAAATCATAATAAACGGAATTGTACCCAGCCCCTCTCGGTTTGAAACTAGGCAATAGACATAGATCTACAAACTTTCAGTCTTACAAATTCACTGATTATCCAGACCCTTCTTGTTAACTTAAAAATGTCAACAACAACAACAACAACAAGTTTATTCAGTATTACCAATTCTATATATATGGTGTTACTGATTGAAATAAAACAATAAGCAAAGAGAGTTAAGGAAATACAGACTAGCAAAAACCAAAGGTCACAGAGTGCGAGCGACAACGATCGGTAACCTACGATGAGGCATTTTTTTATGCTTTTGCTCCATCGCTGTGCTTTGTGTAAGTTTCACGTGACAGACAGTCAAAACAACAGTGATCAGATTATGAGCAGATAGGAGGTCCAAAGGTGCGTGATCAAATTGCATACTGTGCATTCCATTCATTCTTAGTGGAAGTACAAATGAATTGCTGGCTACATACATGCAACACATGCGTAATAACAACTTGGAGATTAGGATTGATGTTCTTTCATCTTTCAAAGGCGTGAGAAATGATTTAGTATAAACTACGTCTGAGTGTGTATTTATTTACTTTTATACAGGAGGTAATTTCATCAGAGTCATTTTATAAGACCTATACTCTCGGCCATTATAATTTTGATGACGAGGAGCAGCCAAGTGGCCATTTAGCTGTTTGGCAAAATCCTGAGGAATGGTTCTGTTACTGGAATGATGACAATAATGATGACGATGATTCAGATTTGTATGTCTTCGCTGATCCCCCAAAACGGTGGAAATGTGGTATAGTTCATTTAGCGGAGTACAAACTTGAGTCAGATAAGGATCTGAGATATAAAGATTTCTACCGAGCTGTAGCCATATTAATGAAGATTCAGAAAGCTGCTGACGAGTTACAATTAGACTGCGGTAAGCCCTTCATTTGAGCTCTGTGATACAGAAATTTTATGTACATGAGAGACGGTATATATAAATGTGATATGTGATAGTCAAATTGTTACAGTGAAGTTTATACTCTTACTTATTAATAAATTGATAAATATTTTTTATTATTTTAATAAGTAGAATAGGATTTGAAGTTATTTGATGTTATTCAGTGGAATTAACAATGTCGTTATTTTGCAATCAGTGCACAAAGTGACATAATTTATTCCTCTGATTATTCCCTAGCAGTTAAAGATACTGATCTCAATTTCATGAATCTTTTATTTATTAAAGAACTTTGCTACTTCTATTTTCTCATCACCCAAGTGGTGAGTGAGGTACTAGTAATTGACTTATTAATCCAAGCAAAAACGGCACGTTATCAAGAGTACAGGCCATTCTCAGCCTTAGAAGGCATGGTTTATTGATCCTGGCTGAACACTGCCTGTAAAATTCACAGGGGAATTACACTGTAGCCAATTAGTTGACTAATTCAGTGGAAGTACAGTCTGATAGAGTACTTTCCCTGACTTTTTTAGAGTACAGTACGCTGTAGCTACTGAAGATTTACCTTAGTGGTGGGGGACAAAAGGGAGTTGGGACCCTGGGAGAAGAGTGGGTGGCAGGAATACAGGAGAAGGGAGAGGAAAGGGCAGGAGGTGGGAGATCTAAAAGGGTGAGAAGCAGGAGAAAAAGTGAGAAATTATGCAAATATCAGTGCTTTATATTTCACAATAAAATAAGAGACAAAAGGAGGAAGCTACCAAGAGAAGATGGGAGGGAACTGAGAATACAATTATGTGACTGACTGCAATGGATGCTGTATCATGTTTTCTTTTTAGGAATGTGGGGAAATGAAAGTGATGGAGTGATAGAAGTCTGTTTGTTTCCCTGGAGCAAAGATACCCTTCCCACTCCTAAAGATATTATTACAATGTTTCACTTTCACCCCGAGCTGAGCAATAACCCCATGGAAAGCACAACTCTTTCGGATGATGAGGACAATTATGATGAGGAGGATGACATTGGCTGGAATGGCCTGCGATCTTTTAGTGAAGATGACAAACAGAAAGCAGTGAATTTCTTTAAATGGCTTAAAAAAATATTCACACCTTTCATTTATATTGGTATTGGCTGTGATTTAATGAATCCAGTTGCTTGTTTCTTGTTGGGACATATTGCCCCAGGGTGGGTGGGAGGTGTGCTGACGTCTGTGGTTTGCACTTAACGTTATTTCCCAATTTTTGTGGTTGTGTTTCGTTGTGTTGTGTGCCTTTGAGTGGTGCAATGTAAATGGCCAGTACACATCAAATTATAACAATGGCATTGATGCTTAATCAAGTTAATATAAATGCAGTTAAGTTATATGCTGTCTCAATAAAATTTTGTTAAAGAAACCAAATGGAAATTGTAAATGTAATTTCTCATTCTGATGCTGCATAATAAAATTGTGATAAGTGTCCTCCATGAGCTGCTTTTTTCATGTTGTTGTTGTTTATTTTGTTTTCTTTTAAAGGGGGTACCTTACGCTTCAGTAAGACTGGATATTTTGTAATATAATTTTACTAATGAATGACAATTTTCTAGAAATACTGCAAATAAAAATCTCTATTAA